GCTGAAAACGGAGTGCTTGTTTGTCAATCAAAAGAAGTGTTCTTTCTTCACTACTTCTGTGACTTTTCTTGGTTTTGTTGTGTCTACTGATGGTGTTCATGCAGATCAGTCAAAGATAGATGCAGTCTTGGAGTGGCCCAGACCAAGAACCTTACATGACATCCGAAGTTTCCATGGCTTGGCGTCTTTTTACCGTCGATTCATTAGAAATTTCAGTACTCTGATCGCCCCTATCACAGAGTGCCTCAAGGGGCGTGATTTCCAGTGGTCTGAGGAGGCAGAGGCCAGTTTTCAACTGGTCAAGCAGAAGATGACCGAGGCTCCAGTTTTGGCACTGCCAGATTTTGACAAAGTGTTCGAGGTAAATTGTGATGCATCTGGCGTTGGCATTGGTGGTGTTCTGAGTCAGGCAGGTCGTCCGGTTGCTTTTTTCAGTGAAAAGCTATCGGGATCAAAGAAAAATTATTCCACTTATGATCTGGAGTTCTATGCCATAGTTCAGTCCCTGAAGCATTGTCGTCACTACCTAGTACAGAAGGAGTTTATTCTGTTTACCGATCATGAGGCCTTGAAGTACATCAATGGCCAACACAAGCTGAGTAGACGTCATGCCAAGTGGGTAGCATACTTGCAAGAATTCACTTTTACGCTGAGGCACCAAGCAGGGAGTTTGAACCGAGTCGCAGATGCCCTGAGTCGTCGTACCTTACTTCTCACCACCATGAGTACTAAAGTTGCAGGATTTGAGACGTTCACAGATATGTATACAGCTGATCCTTCCTTTGGAAGGATATTTCAGGAGGTAACTGAGGGTCACCGTCATGATTTTGTTTTGCATAATGGGTATCTGTTTCGTGGATTACAATTGTGCATTCCAGATTGTTCATTGAGGCAGCAAATTATAAGTGAACTCCATAATGAGGGACACTTTGGCCGAGATAAGACATTGGCCCTTATCTCTTCTGAATTTTATTGGCCCAAGTTGACTAGTGATGTGGCCCATTATGTGGACCGTTTTTATGTGTGCCAGCGGTCTAAGGGAGTTCTCACCAATGCGGGATTGTACACTCCCTTACCTGTTCCTGAAGCTCCTTGGTTCGATGTCAGCATGGATTTTGTACTAGGCTTACCCCGCACCCAAAGGGCCTCTGATTCTATCTTTGTTGTGGTTGACAGGTTTTCCAAGATGGCTCATTTTGTAGCTTGCAGAAAGACTATGGATGCTGACCGGATTGCCCATCTCTATTTCAAGGAGATTGTGCGTTTACATGGTGTTCCTCGATCCATCACTTCAGATCGTGATACTAAGTTCATCAGTCATTTCTGGAAGAGCCTGTGGGGGAAACTGGGAACGCAGTTGAATTTCAGTAGCGCCTACCACCCCCAGAAGGATGGCCAGACTGAGGTGGTGAACCGAAGTTTGGGAAACCTTTTAAGGTGTTTGGCAGGAACGAAGCCGAAGCAGTGGGATTTGGCATTGCCTCAGGCAGAATTTGCCTACAACAGATCAAAAACAGAACCACAGGTTTAAGCCCATTTGAGATTGTCTATTGTCAGAACCCATCCGGGGTGTTGGACTTAGCCCCTATTCCACGTATAGGACGTTTCAGTCCTAAAGCAATGAGATGGCAAAGTATCTTCGGGGTATCCATGAGCAGGTGAAACAGACCATTCATGAGAGCAATACCAAGTACAAGACTCGGGTCGACAATCATCGTCGTCAGGTACTTTTTGATGTTGGTGATTTTGTTTGGGCTGTATTAACTCGTGATCGTTTTCCTGTTGGTGAGTATAATAAGCTTAAGGATCGGAAGATTGGACCTTGTGAGGTCGTGCAGAAGATCAATGATAATGCTTACAGGTTACGACTTCCCCAGTCACTTGAAGACTTCTGATGTCTTTAATGTGAAGCACCTGAGTCATTGTTTTGTGGATCCTGATGACACTACTCTGAACTCGAGGACGAGTTCTTTCCAACCCGGGGTTACTGATGCAGGGGGATCCGAGACAGATGATGCTGAGCTGTCAGATTGCACGTTGATGGCGCTGAGATACCATGAGTTGGCAGATCAGCGCAAAGGCGGGAATTGATTGTGACATGTTCCTCATTGGGGTCGTTTTGAGTATGTTTCAGTCTTTTGGCCATAACTTTGGCTACAGGTGTCAGAATCGCGCATAAGACCCCAATCCGGAAAGCTCTTTTCGACGCGCACGCTCTCCACATGAGCTATGCTCAATGTGGCCTTTTTTCAACCTCAAATTCTGCCGTTTTCCCCTCCGAATCACTAGATTTAGTTATTTTTTTACTATTTATGGTAATATTTCGATTGTTAATTAGGAAGTCAATTTAAATCCGATTTAGGCCGGATTTTTGGGAGATTGCTTATTTTATTTCGAATTTCAAGTTAGAGTGATTTTCGGGATTTTGCTATTTTTGGCAAAATTCGAATAAAGACGATTTTTTTTGCTATAACAGTCCGGCTTGTGGACTGCTTTTTGCATTGTTTGATTTTATAATATTTTATTAAACCCTAGAGACTTTTTTTCTCTGGTTTTTGGGCGAATTTTCTCTTATGAATCGTCTGTCGGAACTAGCCTACAGGATAATCACTATTCTGTCTGGCGTCATCATTGTCCTTATTTCGGGTGGGGAAGATCCCCTTAGATGCAGAATCTAGTCTGATTTTATTTTTCAATAGATAGACATATTACATAAATAGTCATATCATCATTCAAATTTTTTTAATATATGTTTTTTTCTGATGTTCACTGTGAATAGTACATAAAAATTTCAATTGATAAAGTATGTTTCTTGCTATTTCTAGTCAGGTTAAAAAGTGTAGATCAAATAGGTTGGATTTTTTTTTTCTGTTATTGGTCCACTTAATTTAATCGTTTGACTTGGACAATTTCCTTGAACAAGATTTTAAATATTTTACAAATATGTTTTATTATCTAATTTAAATTTAGTAAATGAAATATATTTTTGTGGGTTTTCCAATATAATTTCTTTTTGGTTGTACCATATCAAATTATTTGTTTTCAGCTGTCTAATTTTTAGAGGAATCATTGTTTGATATACTAGCAGAGAAGGTCTTTGAACTCTATAAGCCGCGTAATGTGTTATTCGCAGTCTTGTCAATTGGACGGGTCGGTTGAATTATTGCAATTACCTTTAAATATATAATGTAAAATTATAATTTTTTCTGATCGAGTATTTTGCACCTAAACTTGAATCTGACTTGAACTTGTTTTTTTTATAAAAAAAATCCGATTAGGTTGGTTCAGATCAGAACCCGTCGAGTTTGAGTCTCATGCCCATCCCTAATCCTAATCATGTATCATTAGAAAAAGAAAGAAACCCTTAACAAATCCATTATAAGCATGTATGAGAAGCAAAGTTAGGTTTAGTTAATCACAAGAATACAACATAATATTAGGGTAAATTATGTGTTTAGTACTTAAACTATCAGTTTTGGTCCATTTTAATATCTAAACTTTTAATTTTTTTGAAACCATTCTTGAAGTTTAGATTTTATTTCATTTTAATATCCCGCCATTAAAAACTTCAGTTTTTGTTTCACAGGTCGGGTTGAGTTTATATGAAGTAGATCCTTATTATCTATGAATATTTAAATTCAAAATATAATATACAAATCATGACGATATTTCTTCTTAGAACTTGAATTGTTAGTCCAAGTTTTGTAATGAATGGACCCAATATTTATTTTAGATCCGATTTTAATGACATTTCTCACAATAATAAAATGAATATGTTCACAACTAAAATATAAAAAAAATATCAAAATTAACAGTTTCTTTATAGTTGTTCTGAACAACGAAAATTTACAAGGTTAGAGCAAGTTTAACAATGACTACATGATCTTAAACTTGTATATGTCTTTAACATATTTTCTTACAAATAGATATTTATATCAATATGTTTAGTTTGACTTCCACATTTATTATTTTCAGCCATAAAAACAACTGAATTATCTTAATGGCTTAGAAATAGAATCTGCAACTCCCTCCCTATAAATATTGTGAGTTTACTATCAAAATTTGGTGCTTCCCCTCTTATTTTCCTAATATTTACATCTATCAGCTCAAACAGGAGAAACTAAACCCAAAATTTATTCCTCATAATATTTATATTTTGGGCAATACAGGCTGAATCCGTGATTGCACTAAAAGGTCTAGTTGGTAGTCAACCACGGGCTGAAGTTGCTATGCTTGAAACAACATATTCAAGCTCTATTATGGTGATGAATTGGTGGTGTTTTTGAGGTGATAGCCGACAATATTGGTGAAAATATTGGCGATATGGTTGAAATGGAAACTAATATATTGGAGTCCTATGCTTAAACTTAGAAATTATCAATATGAAATATAAAGAGAATATCTAAAATATATGAGAATTTGAAATTTTCATGCGAGGAGATTGCCCCGCCAGCCCTCCTCGGTCCACTCGAAACATGTAGGTAGTTATGCTTTTTTTTTACATTTTGGATATGGTGGACGACACTTCTCAAGAGTTTTGGTATTAGATTTGCCTATCGCTTGCATGCGTTCTTACTTTCTACTAGCATTGCAGGGCAAGATGCTAAAAGGAGATGAGGGTATACAAATGATTTTCGGATTGTTAGACGTCCCTTCGAGAAAGCTAATAGGAATTTTGCTTAGTCGTATATGGATATAGTCGGTGTGTTAAGTTATTGGGTGGAATCAGATCAAAATGAGAATGGAACCAACTCAAGTAGCTCCCACTTAATGTAGTTTACCCTCTTTCCCTTTTCCCATTGAAATGAAAATGGAACAACTTATTTTCCAGTTCCATATTCTCTTCAAGTTTACCAAAACAACTACAAGCACTCAAAAATGTTTTTGCAAATTCAATCGTTTGGGATGTCTAATTCACCAAGCATATATGAAATCAAATATAATACCAGTAAGGTCCTTATCAACTAGTACTAAGCTCGTCATAAAAAGAATAAAGCAAAATCTTCTCTATGGGTGCATGCTTAGCTATAAAGAATTTAAGAATACCTTTATGAGAAGACTCTTCCAAATAAAATCCCGCTGAAAATAAGTGCACCAAACCACTTGTTGGACAAAAACCTGTTACAAGAGAAAAAAGAAAGAAATGAGACAAACTGCAAGACGAAAGCTAAGTACAAAAGAAAACACACATTTAGAAGAAAACCGAATCTCCAGCTAGAAGGCATTAAAGAAGTTTAAGATCCTTGGGTAGGCTTTGTAACTTTCTCTGTTTACATCCAAAAGTACAAGCGTATTAGGATATATTGACAAGCACAGCAGCCAAATGACTTAAACCTATCACACACTTCCTATGGCAATCTGTACGGCATGTTAGATTAACGGTCCATATCTGCCAAGCCAATTGTCCAGATGCTGCTGCGAGAAAGGCATAATATGACCACCCTGCTCAAACGTATCTTAGAAAATGTAGCAAAACAAAAGGTTTTTATAGGCAAATTACGGGTTAGAAAAATTTAAATATCAGGCAGGAAAATACCTATATCAGCATTGAATCCACTGAGAGCATGACTACTTATGCAATGATATTTCAAACCCAGTAGTCCACTCTTTAGTTGAATTCCCAAACCTCAAGGCTGTAGATTTAACACCTACTTTAATATCATCCTCTTTATCTTGAATGCACAGTTCTCAATGTCAAAGCAGCTATAATTTCCTATTGTTTCATGGTTCCAATATCTTGGAAAACAAATCTTTAATCCAGAGAGATGGCATACCTCACAGAATTTATTTTTTTGTTCGGTGGGAGTTTTCATGGAAGGGGAAAAACGAAAAAAGCAACTTAAGAAGGATTGATTAATTAACAAATAAAGTCTTCTTCGCTTTGGGTCTTACAAACTTATTTACAGATACTGTGAACTACTAGTGCCCGTCCTTTCATCTTTTTTTTAATTATCTCCTTTCAATTTGTATTTCACACACACACACACACACTCTATAAAAAGTTAGGTTCACAAGAAAGTCATTGTTAGCTCCATAAATCAATCCTCATTCCTGTTAAACTGTAACCATCTGAAAAGACCAGCCTCAATTATCACTGCAAGCTATCCCCCCTACTAAAACCAACCAGAGTTAAAATATAAAAAATTAGTAACTACATTCTCATTTATCTAATATATTAAAATAAGAGATTAGCTAAACAGAATCATACTAGTTCCTCAAAATTAACAATAACAGATCATTTCAAGCTAGGATCTTACTCAAGTAAAAGTTGTAAAGAACATGAAGAACTTATAGCTTTCATGAGATAAAGTTGTACCTGATGTGCATATATTGTATCATACACAAGAGTCCATAATACTCCAGAAAAGTACAGTGGAAGCACAATGGCTGGATCAAGGCTTCCTTTAATGGCCGACCAACCTAATAATATTCCCCAGTTGAAGGTCAGACCCAAATAGGCTTGGGGCTGAATCGACCAGATGAATCAAAGGTTAATAAATAAACAATACTGTGCGCAAAAGAAGAAAAGATACATGAAAATATCATCACCCAAAATGTAAACCTCTTCATGAGAGGATAGGAGAAGACTAGCAACAAGGACAAAGCTCCTAATATCCGGCTGCAAGAAAACGTTAGGCAATGTCAGTTACATAAATCAAAATAGTGTAACAACTAGCTAGATTGATTTCACCAAATTTTCAAAGGAAATTGAGAAAGACAACACTAAAATTTAGATCATATGAAACAGACCTCCTGTGATTAGGTCCAACCCAATATCATCAATGGAAAATCTCATGTAAAACTATGTAAGTCCTTTGGGAAAGTTGCATACATCCAAATCACTGGAAAGATAACCGGAAGCAACAATTGAAAGAACTCTAAGCTATAATTATTAAGTTGAAGGAGAATTCCAAAACCCAAGAGCAGTTGGAAACCAAGATAACAAATTCCTTGAAATGGTGTCAAAAGACAACTTGCAACAGGTCTTAGCTTTGTACGTTGAACGTTCTACCTGCGTGCAAAATGCTCCAATAATCAAATGTCTGGAACAATGAAAATATAAATGTCAAGACTCAGAAATGTGCATAAGTAGAAAATAAAATGCAGTTGTCTTATATCAGGATCCTTCAAGTTCATATTATTCTTAACTATATATTAAGATCATAGCCAGCAAAAACATGTGACATTGCACACAAAAAGGGTGAAGAAACAATTAAAGATACCATAGCATCAATATCCCGATCAAGGAGGTCATTGACGGTACAACCAGCACCCCTCAAAAGCAGTGCCCCGCATTTAGAGAGTGAAGAAGATAGAGACGGTCTGAGGAGGGCGCGTAAGGCAAAACTAGTCAGCCGAAACGAAGCCATTTTTCCACTCTTCTTCACTAGTAGTAGTACTTGGGTTTAGATTTAGCATTTGGGAAGCTTGAGCATCAAAGGAGGACCGTTTGAACTAAAGGGAGTAATATAGTTGGAGTCGATTCAAGTGTATGATACATTTAGATACCTAATTGAAATTTTTATTTTAAAAAAAATCTAATTTTTTTCTAAAATATAAAAATCCTCTAAAATCTTAATCCAAAAATATCTACTCCAATTGCCTCTGCCCTTGCCGTTATCGTTGATCGTGTATCCACCAGATTGTTAGACTTTACTGCCGATAATCTCCCTTGATGTCGACCCTAAATCCCTGATTCCACTTCCGACCATCCGCCTTTCTAACCATCTAAGCAAAAAGAAAAACTTGTCCCCTACCGTAAGTTTTTGATACATGTTAACCACATACTTTTCTCAAAGCTGGTGAAATCCTTGCATGGGATTTCTAAATCATTTTGTTTATATGCTTCTTCAGTGCATTGGTGGATCTCTTTTTCCCAGTTGTAACTGGAACCGTGGCAGGTTCAAATCGATCAGCGTTCAATCCCTTCTGGGACATATTCGGCCACGACTGTCACTACGTGTTTGTGTTTGTCTTCCTCACCAGAGAGAAGCTTTTGACGGACGAGTATTGAGAGTTTTTCTACTCACATCAACATTCTTCATGGATTCACCCTGTAGTCTTTTCCTCGTGCATTCTTTCATTAAGGATTTATGGTTTAGAGATATTGTTCAAATGCTGATCCAACTTTTTTTTTTCTTTTCGAAGAAATCATATTTGTTTAGCATTGCTTCGGCTTCAAAAATACTTCTAACCCCCAAAACACTTTCGCTCAAAGTGATGTAAACAGGGCCTAAACCGATCCAGCCGATTGATCTAGCAACTCTAATTCCCATGTAACATTCCCATAAACTATTGCAAAACCATGATAAAGAAGTACTATGCTACTATTGCATGTAACAAATGAGGAATACCGCATATATAATAGTTATGGTATTATGTTATGATTAAATGTTATATTTTACATGTCTGATTGTAATATTCACATGTATCAAGGTTATTTAATATTAGATCCTCTTTTCCAAGTACCTATTTATTTCTCTTTCTATTGGGCATTAAAAATTGATTATTTGAGGTATTGTGATTTTGGTCATCGAGATTTTCTCCCTCTATTCTATCTGGTTTTCTTCTAAATTCTATTTGTTTCCCCCAATTTCCTTTCTCTCCCCCTAATATATTCTTGTCAAATTCTGAGTGCTTCCCTATCTATTTATAGGGTTGAAAAAATAAGAATAAACAATAATATAAAACCATGTTTGAACTCACCTCCGTGAGATAAAGATCAAAATTTGGTAATCTCCAATAGCACATTCAACACCCAGAGGACGTTACGGTTGCTTGTTTCTATCCAGAATGAAACAAACCAAATTAATTATTCGCAAACACTAGTTGAAAAAATGAAGCTTGCCAAAAAAGTTTCCGCACCTGCAGCTGCTCTGGACTGCTTTCCTCAAGGACCACTCCAAGTGAACGACATGTTACCTACACCAATAAGTTGTCGAAACATGAAAGTTGAAGAAAGAGTAAAAAAGGGGTCTTCCAATGGCCTTATAACTGCCTAAGCATCAAATACCAACATATCCAACACTTGAAAGTCGGTCATAATTAAGCATAAAAATCAGGTTAGCTGAACTTGAGGTTACTTTGCTTCTGAAAAGGTTGAGCTCAAGTTTCTTGTAGTTATATGAAACATTTTAACTATTTCCAATAGCTCATGCATTCTAAATCATAGAAACAAGTAAAAAAAAAACCGAGTCAGTTCATCTAGTTCAGCCACTAGCAGTGGTATGGCACCAGGTAATGGCCCTCAGTAATAACTGAAGTACTAAACCTTGTCATATGAGACTTGGGTGCACATTCAAGGTGCAAGGGAAAATTTCCAAAGGTTAAGTTTCAAGAAGCTGTAAAAGCAATTCAGTTAAAACATTGATTAATACTGCTGGCAGGAAGTAGAAATTATATTTTTATCATTTATATTAGCAATTTATTCTGATAAAACGTCCAAAAAAAAAAACTAAATAATGTGATTGGGCCATTTAACCAATTGACAGTAACAAGTTTTCTATCAAACCCAATACTAAGAAGAGAAAGCCCTTCAAATAGTATGGCTATATATGAGAAGGCTCGTATAAAGTATAAACCACAAATTTTCAAGCAAACATCACTTTAATGACACCCACAATCACTTAAGAAAGAATGGGCACAAATACTTTCCAAAAGAATCTCATTTCTTAAGGTAAAACTTTCTGTTGCTCTTGGTGAGCATAGATTGTTAATACTTATTAAAGGGACACAAACAATCTAAGTACTAAACATTACTTACAGCATTAAGGAGTATTTATAAGCAACCTTTCTACCATCATTCAGTTTCTGCCTAACTATTTGCTCCAATGTTGGCTGCAAAAGATGGAAAAGAGATATGAACTGCAAACAAACAAATCTAATTGACATTGATAAACATACCAAACTGTTCTAAAAAGAGGGGAATTCATATTGGCTGGAAAAACTCATCAACTACATTCTCTGCTCTTAAGTCCTCTGAAGATGAGTAAACTCCAGAAGGCATCAAATTTACGTTTGACTGGGTACTGATATCAGTGCTACTAGTTGTTGGAGCTTGACGTTTCGGTTGCTTTCTTGGATGTGGTGAAGGTGATCTCATCAACCTATATGTAAAGATAATTTTGCAACAGCAAGCCCTGCAATAGCCCCAACATACCGTGAATCCTGATGCAATATGGATGTGATAAGAATCTTACATTTTTATTGGAAACATTTCAGTTACACGAGACATAATAACCTTGTCCAGGTTGAAAGAAAATGAAGGATGAAAGTAAGAGTAGTTACCTGATGGCTAGGTACCCCCCCCCCCCAAAAAAAAAAGGAAACAAACTCCCACTCAGCCATCCATTCACCATATATACATACATATCATTGCTAATGTTTCGAGTTTGTTTGAGGTTTCTTTTCCTCAACATAGCATTTCCACACTCTAGCTCAAAAGTCAACCAGGTAGAAAAAGAAACAGCATATGAGACAAATTAACACCATTTCCAGTAACAGTTTATCATATAGTATATCAGTAGGAAAATTCATCATAAATGTCAGAAAATAGATTCCTAAATTAGAAATATTTTGAGCAATTAGATATGATTCTGTAAATATCTTTTAGTAGTTACAATCCCTAAATTTAAGGGATTGTATCTTTCCCTAGAATTAGTTACTTTCTAGCTTAAGAGTTTCCTAAGTTAATGTTACAACTTGTATATAAATATGTAACAAATCTTACAAAAAATACATGAGTTTTACAGAGAATTACTCTACTTTTAACATGGTATCAGAGTTTTTTAAGCTCATTCCTAGGTTCTGTTAATCTCGGTTTAGCAATCTTTTTTTATTCCTAAAGACTTCCTTGAGTGTGAAAAAACATGGTTAAGGTGGTCGGTCTCAGCAGTTCTGAGACGGATCAGAGAGTCACAATGAATGAAAAGAGTTATTCTAACTCGATAGGTGACTTGCAGAATATACAAATTGCCTGTAGGTTGAATAGAAAAAACTACCTTAAATGGTCTTAGCTTGTTCGTACATTTCTAAAGGGTAAAGGTACATTAAGCCATCTTCTTGGACTTGGGCCTAAGGAGGGAGATCCTAGGTTTGATTCTTGGGATGAACAAGATTCATTTGTAATATCCGGATTATGGAATTCCATGGTACCAGAGATCAGTGATACATGCATGTTTCTTAATACAACCAAAGAGATATGAAAGGCTGTAAAACAAACTTACTCAAAGGTTAGAGATGCTGCCCATATCTATAAAATCAAGACCAAGATTTCATCCACCAAGCAAGGAAGCAAGTCAAGCACAAAATAGTCTAACTTACTGTAGAACCTTTGGTAGGAGATGGATTACTATCAGTGTATCCAGATGAGATGAGTGAAAACGCATATGTTCCAAAAAGCTATTGTTATCATTCGAGCTGAGGAAGGGAGAAAAAGAGTTATGATCAAAAGCAGTCAAGAGGAGAATTTAGCCTTGGTCACTAAAGCTGTAACCGAGAGAAAAACTAACCTGGAACAACAAATTACTAAAGATAATAAACTAGAGGTAGCAAAAATAGTGAACAGGGACTCTCTATAGTGCACCTACTGCAAGAAAGGTCGCCACTCAAAAGAGAAGTACTGGAGACTTCATGGGAAGCCACAAACAACAAGTAAAAATTTTTCAGAGAAAGAGGAATCATCAAGGGGACAAGGAAAAACATATACAACCAAACAGTTGGTTGAGGGCTCTAAAAAACAGTTTGTTGAGTTCAACAGAGAAGAAATAGAGAAACTGAAGAGCTTGCTAGGGTCTCTAGACAAAACTTCCCCTACAGGTACATGTAGTATGGCTTTCTCGTGTATATCCTCTTTTCAAGACTCTAAGGCCTTATATTTACCCACCCAAAGCTTCTGGGTAATTGACTCAGGGGCTACAAACCACATGACTAATTATTCACTCAGATTTACCACTTATATACCCTGTCCTAGCAACAAAAAAATAACAGTTGCAGATGGTACTATGATAACAATGGTTGGTCAATGAGATATTGTTATAAGTAAAACACTTACATTGAAAAATGTCCTTCATGTACCCAAACTATTTACTAATCTTCTGTCCATTGAGAAAATTGCCAAAGGCACTAACTAAAATGTTATTTTTCATCCTACTCAATGTATTTTTTAGGAACAATGAACGAGGAGGAGGATTGGTGTTGTGTGATTTGAGTGCTTCGCAATTGGTTGAAGTATACACGTCGCAAGTTATAGTATAAAATAGATATCGTCTCCATAAGGATTGACGTAACTTTGTGTTCTAACTCATTGCACTATAAAAAGGAATAAATTAGTAGAGGTTAAATTAACGAGTAAAATAAAGGTGCAAGTAAT